GAGACAGCCTACATGACCTAGGGTCTTCTGCCCAAACATGTCCCAGGAGCCTGTGGCACTGCTGCTGAGGACGAGTCCTGCCCAGAGGTCTGCCCACACCTTGGGGCAAGGAAGTTTTGGGACAAGGCTGCCTACACAAATGCCATGTGAAGTGGCTTCAAGGGGAAGGCTGAAGTCGGACTAGCTATAAATGTGCTGGAGGACCTCAAAGCTGGCTCTGCTGTTCTTCACAGGGAAAGTCTTCAAGATTTTCATCCTCCAGAGAGGAAAAACCTCACTCCATCTTCCTCATCAACACTTTGCCTAGGCCAAGAAGACAGAGGAAACCCCCAGCACCCATCTCTTGGGATGCTCACAGAGATTATAAAGTCCCTGATCTGAAAAGGTTGAAATCTAGGCAGGATTTATGTCCTGTAGTAAAACCACAGAACTGCCTCTCTTATGGTGATAAAAATAAATCACCCTTAAAAATAGAATGACATTAATAAAAATAAATCTAAAAATACATGCAGTGCATCAGGGAGTTATGGTCTGCTCCCAGCCTGGCATGGCAACTGTTCTGGGTAGGGTGTCAGATAGGTACTTCCAAAGCTCTGCTTTTCAGTGTGTGATTGCTCAGCTCTTGTGAAGTCTGGACCTCTCAAGGGCAGCATGATCCATGGGGCTCTTTCAACAAGGAAGTCACAGTCTGGCTCCAGACAGCCTCCCTGCAGTTTCTGCTGGAACATGAGTACTAAGAGAACATTGTCTTGATTGGAAAACCCATTTCTAAGACGATCTCCCACCCAGGCAGACACCCTGCCTTCATTCACTAGCTGCACTTTTGCTGTTTTCTGTGTTCATGATTCACTGCAGATTTCAGGATCTCTCTGTGTTACCCAGGAACATGTAGACCAGAAGGAAAAGTCACACTTCTCCTTTGCCCAGCCCCATATCTGAGAGCTGAGTAGGGCTGGCTGCTACTTCACAGAGGCAGCCTTTGCATACAAGGAGAACATCATAAAAAAAGGAAATGGATGGAGACAAGGCAAGCTTGTGAGAAGTTTTTGCAAACTGGACAGCAAAATAGCACAACTTAGAGGTAGATAAACTCCACATGCCTGCACCTGCCACACCAAAGAACTGATAGGTCCCCCATTTCAAATCCCCATCCTTCTGCCCACATTATTTACACTTTGCTGATGAGGATCACCACCTTCTGACCATGCTGGTACCTCTCAGACCTCTGTGACTCACACCTGGCTAACACAGGTAGGCCAAGTGGGCATCAAAGTGCTCAAAACCAAAGCTTCTCCCTTGCATCTCCAAGCTTTGCAAGTTCTTCACTCTTCCTGGCCTCCCTTACCTGTCTCTTGGTCACACAGCTGTTCACAGGCATCTGTGGTCCTCTGTCCACAGAGGTCTCTCACCCAGGGGGATGTGGCATTGATCTGATAGTAGAGGGACAGCTTGGCTGGATTAAGCCAGTCAGAGATATCCAAGTAGCTTCCCTCACTCACAACAAAGCTGCTGCCTGGAAGGTGAAAAAAATAATACATTAGGTGAGTGTAAAAAGCAAAAAACCAACCCCCAAGCCACCACCAGCACCATGCATTTTGTCCTAATACCAGAATGCTCTACAGAAACCAATGTGATACCAATCAGCAAAATAATATTGGTCTCACCAACACTCAGACCCAAATAACTTCATTTGAACATTCCTCTCCATACCAATGTGAACCAACAAATGGTCCACTAGCTGGGACACTCCTCTGCCCAAATACTCCCCAGTCCATGCCCTACTTAGCATCACGAGATACTGGATTTGATTCCCGGGTCTCTGCAGAAATACAGAGCAATGTGATGATCCCAATCAATAAGATCAGAGCAGCACTTCCCCAGCTCATGCAGACAGTGTCTGGGAGATGTCAGAATACCAGGCTCAGGGCATGGATGGAGAGTGGCTGCAAGGTCTGTTCCCACTTGATTTCTTTAGCTTAAGGTGAGTTAATTGGCCCAACACATAACGAGCACTCTGGTGTCAGAGACACTCCCTCACCCCCTCCCTCCAGAGTGCTACAAGTCAATTCCTCCTAAAAACCTTTTCTTACAAAATCTTATGTTTCTTTATTTTGTGAAATGTATTTTTCCCCACTGGCATCTGGGAATATGCATCATCTAATTAGCCAAATAGATTTTCAGTTCAGCCCAATCATTTTCTTATCTAACATCTGAGGCCCAGCATTGCTTGGGGGATTTTGCAGGCACAGAGGTCCTCATTAACTCTGATCTTCAATTACATTGATTATAAGACTGCCTCCATAATAGTGCTGCACAGATCAGAGGGGAGCCAAAAAACCTCTGGCATTAAGTGGTGTGTTTTGCAGAAGCTACCAGGGTAAAATCTTCTAAAAACAGGGGAGAAGAAACCTTCAAAGAGGAGCAGGCAAGAGGAAATGCCAGGGAGCCCAGGAACTAACAGACATCCTTCCACTGGGTGCCGAGACTTGCAAACACGAGCAAAATTTGCAACCTCAATCTGAAGATTCAAATCCTTCTTAGTGATCACCCAAGGATAGCAAGTCAGGGTGTATCTTCATGAAACTTTTGGGCTTGTGTCACTTGGTAAAGGACAGGGACATTATTTTTCTAAGCACTGCATAAAATATTAGTTCAGTGAAATCCAAGAAGACTAAAAATGCAGGACAATAATAATAATATATATAAAAAATAAAATAGCAGCAACCACCCCACAGGAATCTGCATGTACAATAACTCCTGATTTCCTTCTGGAGAGAATCACTGATGCTGTAGCAAGGAGAAGCCCTTCTAGACCTCATCCTGTGCCACATTATCCATGAAGAGGATAAAAAAGAAAAGAAAGAGCAAAGCTTAAATTCAAGCATCCCATTGAGTGACCCCATTTTCAGGCACCCTGAGATCTCAGCATCATACACATTCAGAGACACATCCCTACACTCAAAGGCAATGGAAGCTGCCAAGTTACTGCCTGTTGAAGCAAATGAAAATCAGACATCCAGGATCCAGCTGCTCGGGAGACACAGGAAGGTGGGACCCTGCAGGATACATCTCAATCAGACAGGGCAGCAGGAAATTGCCAGGAAAACTCCACACCACCAGTGGAAAGTGTGGAAACACTGAGCACAAATTAGTGCCTCAGAGCCACATCATTTTCTTCAAATTCTAATTATTTTCAATTAATATTTAAAGACAGTTTTAAATGCCAATTACATCTATTGCTGGTTTATTTTACCAAACAGAAATGCCTCATAAAGCCACTGGAAGTGTTAACTATTTGTGTGTAGGTGTCTATGTAGTAACCTGTCGATCTTGCTTATTTTTGTAGTACCCTGCTACAGAAGGAGGCTTGGGAGGCATGTGAGCACATTTTGAGGCTCAGCTACAGCCACCTCTCTCTGCACCCAAAGACTGAAGAGGAAAACCACCAGCTCTTGAGTAAATCCCTACTTCATGAACCCCACTTCTAGTTAAAATACAGCCAGCCTCTTCTGTTACTGAAAGTAACAGGAGCAAATTAGACGTAAAATCGTCATATAATTAGTAACCACGAAGACTGAGGTGACTCGATCTAGCAAAGCATCCTGGCCCAGGAGCTGCTATGCAGAGGGGACCTCATGGTTAGGTGGGTGATGGACAGGTGACCTCTGAAGCTCCCCATAACCTCTGCATGCTGACAATCTTCAAGAGAAGGAAGCACCTTCATGGCCCTGCTGCTAAATTGTCAGTTCCTGCAGAAAACCTGGCCTGCTTGCTGCTGGAGTACAAAACCCCCAACAAATCTCTAATGTTGGAAGTACCTCTGAAATCAATATCAAAATGTTGATACACAGCCAGGGGCCTATAATTTCTTTTTCAGCAGAAGCTTGGTGTCCACGTAACACCACAAATTTGGGAAGCTTGAAATCATTTGCAAATGGATCAAGATTTGTCATATTCTGTACATAGAAGGACCTTCCTAAATATAACACAATTGTAACTTAAATAAAGAAAGCCTTGGTATTTTCAAGATAAACTACTTATTTTGAGTTTACTGAGCCTGATTGAGAAATCCTCCTCAACATCAAGTGTTTTTAAAAAAAAAAAACCAGAAGTGAAAATATTTGAAAAATCCCTGAATTCAAGTTCAGTGTAAAATGGGGGTTTTGCTACTTCAGTTAAAAACAAAACCCTGGGGAAATGAAAGGTTTTAATTAATTGTAAACACTTTCCTTTTTTACTAGGAGGAAGGAGTGGACAACTTCCAGCACATCAGTGTCTCAAATCTTTGAAGCTGAGTGTGTTGCAGCTCAGCTGGGTAAGATTCTGAGAGATGTTCTCAGACACTCTTACCACCTTCACGCCCATTGAAAATACAAACAAACAAACATCCCACCCTTGATCCCTTTATAGCTTGGCTGAGAGAATAATAACAGGAAAAAGGTGTCTTACAAATATTTTGAAAGCTAAAATTCTGAAGATTTCAAAGCCTTCTCACACAATTTTTCTCTTTCTTCTCAAAGGATCCACACAGAGAAAAGAGTTCTCAAAAATCACCAACCTGTGCTTATCAAAGCCATCTTGAAAAGCTTGGCAAGGGCAGGTTGAGTATCAAACCCTTTCAGCAACCACCCAGAACAAACATTCTCTAAAGAAGAGCTGTTTCAAACATCTTTAGTTTGCTGGGAGTATCAGCCAGGGTTGTTTTTACCAGCCAGGAGTCTCTCAACTGAGGGAAATGGAGGGGGATGGAATGGGGGGTAACAGGAACCCCTCTGTTACAGGGCATAGACCCCTCTCCAATCACTCTCTGAAAATCTGCCTCCAGAACTTTAGACCCCACAGAATTGCCCTACACCCACACCCAGCCTACAGTTCCTGCCTGTGGACACCAGTGAGAAGATCCCAGTAGAGATACTCTCCAAAGACACCCACCCTGCTGTCCTCTACTTTGAACCCTGTTGCCTCCCAGGTATCCTCCTAGACACATTTTGAACTTCCTACTCAAAAGTTTGGTGAAATTCCCCTTAAATGTAGACATTTAGGTCCCAAGGTGAAGCAGCCATCAGGGCAAACAACCATCAACCCAGTAAGGGAATACAACAACAGAATGGCAGCTCTCCAACCACCACCACCTCCTCCTCCCAGGAACCCCCATTGCAGGACACGTTCCTGGAGCACCATTGGCTTTACAAGCCACTCTATCCTGTAGATCAGCATTGCAGTGCCACGGAGAACACCAGGATGCAGCTACACAACCATCTCCCACCTCCATGAAGTCCACCTGGACTTCAGGGCATTGATTTGTTTGGGTTTTTGTATGCATGTGTTTTTTCTCCCCCCTTTCTTCCCCAGTGCTGATCAAAGCCAGATCAGTGAAGGCAGCATCAAAAGTTCATGTCTCCTATGCTGGGGTCTCCTTCAAAGTTCAGTGGGACTGCTTAAGCCTTGACAAAAGAGGCTTGAAGTTTTGACATTTCAAAAATCATTTCCCTGAACACAACAGGATAAAACAGCTCAGAAGAGATATCTAACAAGGGAAAAGAACAAAGCCCCCAAAAGGCAGCCACAAGGGTTTGGCTTTTCCTTTCTCTCTCTCTCTCTTATTTTTTTAATATTTTTTTTTTTAACAGAAAAGATCAATTTTTTTAAAAAAAGAATTTCTATTTTTTCCTCCCAGCTATCTTTGTCTTCTCTAGCCCATTCATTATTTCTTGGCCAATGACACTCCTGTTCATCTAAAATTAGTATTTTCTGCTAGGAAGATATAGGAGGTCATACTACAGGTTTCTATTAATGCATCCGTCCCTGTACTATCATACAATTATAACCCTGTTACAGATCTTTTTTTAAACACTAGAAGAAGGATAATCCCTCTTGCTCCATTCTGTAGGTACAAAGAAAAACCCTATTTTATTTCTTGGTTTGTTTTTTTTTGTTCCTGATTTAACTTAAAAGATCATTTCCCAAAGAGACAACTCCTTCCCTATCAGCTCTTTCCATTGATCATCTCTCTCTCCTGTCCTGGTCCCAGGAAATGAAAGCTTCTACATCTTAAATTTTGTTCAGAAAAGTCAGAAGTACCTGGCAGAATTTGGATGCCCAGGGCACACACACACTGCCCTAAGAAAAGAAGGAAGGCCTGGTGCAGGATTGCACCCAGAGACTGACAGGGTGCTCAGCTTTACCACCCCTATCCTGCTCAGTGCAAAACCAGGTAATTTTTGGAATAATTTAAATTCATCAAAGTAAAAATCTTAATTCTACACTCTAATTTGGATCCAAGGATATTACCACATCAGGTTAAAATCCAAGCTAACCACTTCATCTTGTTTCTCAGATGGTTTCTCTTTGAACAAAAAGAAATGCCTAAGCAGAAAGCTACAATAGCAAGTTTTTAAAGCAACAACAGCCTTCAGACAAGCCTTTTGTTTGCTCTCCTATAGCTGAAGTGCACACACTTTATACTGCATGTACTGCTTAGGTCTTGGATGTCTTTTCAGCACATCAATTCCT